AATCGGTGGATTTTTAACTTCAATGGGATGCCCCAAATTCGAAGTACGATAAAGCGATACGAACCGAATGGTGTAAAAGATTAGATGGCTTTTAGAGAATATACAGTGGCCTCAAATTCCAGGATATGACAGCAATCAACAGAAATACGGCAGTATCAATCACACGTGGAATGACTCATACTTGAGTTAATTGACATTCGGATGACTACCGTCGAGTGCGCCGAGACCCATCAACTTGGTTGGCACTTCAAACTCCATTATTAAGAGGAAAATTTAGTCCTAACATCGTATCCTTCTTAAACAGGAACTTAATCGAATTTTAAGTAGCTTTTGAGAAGAAAATCGGCATTAGTTTTTTCCTGGTTGGGTTTTTTAATTCCTGTATTGAATTGTGTAAAAAACTAACAAGATATTGTATTAGGAAATTCCTTCATGGGGTCTGCGGAATGATGAACCTATAATTAGGTCGTTTCCCGTTGACAATATGGGCAAAATTTTATCGCTGTCTAATGTTAGATCCTAACAGAGAATCGACATCGTATTTTAGTAAATATGAATCGATGAAAAACAAACCAAATGAAAAAGACATATTTTTGTGAAAATAGTTCCAGATAGGTAAACGTTTTTAAGAATTGTGAGAAAAATTAGGGAAAGGAAGAATGAAAGTATGGGTTTAATTTCCGAGCTTTCGATAAACAATACTATCATAAATTTAATGTTTATTTAAAATTCGAGAACTATGTGCGTGAAGATAGACTTTTTCTAATATCAAGAAAGTGTCAAGATAACCCCGTTTTTCCTATTATTAAAAGCTGGTTTATTGCGTTTCAACAACAATAGAACTAAATTTTTATGGTACATAAACAGTCGGTTTTAACTACTTGCTGAGTGTCGTCGACGATGAGTCACAACTTTGCTTTGTCCTATACCTTTTCAAACAAAAAGTTTAAAGAACTTTTTTTTTTGAAAAAATATTATCTTGAAATACACCATACAGTATCTTTATTGAGATCATCTTCAGAGCCTGGGATTTACAAAAATTGTTTATATTTAACAAATAAATGTAGGATGTGTAAAAAGAGTGAATTTATACATAGCAAAAAAATATATTTTATATTCAATCAAAGTATTTCTATTCACTAAAAGTTTATGTTTTCTGCGTAATTGTGCCATTCTTGTGTGTCGTGTTGAGAGTGCCAGTGAGATACTGCTGTTTTATGTTTATAATTGAACATATTGCTGTATTATAAACATAAAACAGCAATTTCTCACTGGCATTCTCAACCCGACGCTCAAGAATGGCACAATTACACAGAAAACAAACACTTTGAGTAAGTAGGAATACTTTGAATATAAAACCTATTTTTTTGCATTGTATAAATTCACTTTTTTCCACATCCTACATTTATTTGTTAAATTTAAACAATGTTTGTAAATCCCAGGCCCTGAAAATGATCACTATAAAGATCGAAACGTTGACACGATAAAGAAAATGTTTTTCTAAAACCTACGTCAAACCAGACCGCATCTCACGATTTCCGGAATAATCATCGACTAACGGTCACTAATCACCACACGTTTTTTAAATTAATTATTTATTATTGTTTCTGTCGTCACGTGTATGTACATAAATACAAACATAGTAGAGCCTATCAATTCCCGCAGTCAACCGGCAATTCCAGCGTTTGTAATTTACAATAATTACCGGCATGCCTCCAAAATCACCCACCCCGGGGGGTTGGCAGTCCGAGGTCAGACAAACAGCTAGGTCATTTCAGCCGACAACCTAATAAGCTCCTAAATCCAAACCCAGTCACACTCTCACTCACTCTTAAATACAGTCTTTCTTATTTACATACCATTCACTCAGTTATGGGGATGGAGTACTCAATATTCACCCTTTTCACCTTTATATGAATAACCTAATTGAGGGACGAGGGGTACTCAATATTCCGCCATCTTTCACATTCACCCTAACACTCAACACACACTACTCAACAATACCAGCACTATATACAATAAGAAAACCCTGTTTCATTCAATAATCGAAATAGGAAACCAGCTGCCGTGCTCAGGAACAATTCTCATATCTGGTGGCATTCCTACGCGCTCGCTATACGGAGCCAAGGAACAGCACCCTTCAATTTAGTACGAAACATCGAATAACCTTTCTCTACATGCCAGAAATAAAAGTGTGTGTGTGACAACCTCACATGACCTCCCCTTAATCAGGGTAACCTATAATATAAGTAACCGATAATCCGATGAAGCATACTAATCCTGGCTTAGACAGCAGTATTTCAGCGTCGTCGAAAACGCGTAATAATTTAATCCACGTTCATCTTGCACTTCACAAATTGCATGCGCTGCCGTCTTGGTAATTCTTTTTGTCCGATAAAGCCCCAGGGTGTGAGGAAGACAAGTTCCTTCTTTCATTCACGATTGCAAATACGGTAAGGGTACATACCAATAAAGAATTAGTACAATAAGTAATAAAGGAACAAAAATGTCATTTCACCATTAATTTTTGGCCAAGGAAATAATATGGGTTTTACAGAAAACAACTTGGGTTATGTAAAATAACAAAATCCCTTTTTTTTGACATAATATCTAAACATATACCTTGATCTAACATATGATGAAAAAGCTTTCTAAGGTTCTTTTTAAACGATCTTGTCAGCATGAAAAAACGTAAATAGAAAGAGTTATAATTAAACATTAGTTAAGTTATAAGCAAAGATACCAAAGTAGGTAATGTTACAAGGTTTGACTGACAAGTATGGCGGTAATGTGGCCTCTTCGGGCACACCTAATCGTCTTCATGGCGAAAAACCACAGGAAGCGACCCTTTCCTTCCTGAGCATCGTCCCACGATAATTAGTCTTCCGACCAACTTGCACCCCTTGAATTAAACTCGCCTAATATTCTAATTAAACCAATCCCAGAGGGGCGGAGCGCACTCTTCATTTAACAGCCGAGAGGGAAAAAGCATAATTCTTTCAAAGAACCCTTGGCCTTTAATTTGTTTTAGTTAATTCTGTAGGCAAGGGTTATCATTCATTTTTAATTTTTGGGATGATTAAAACTAATTTTTTTAAATGATTCACCAAGAAACCGTCATTTCAAAGTAGAAACAAAAATTAAATCCATTCCAAAACGGATCAGAAATTATGAAAGATAGAACTCACCTGAGAATAATATAATAAAAGCATTAAAGCGTGGTATTTAAAAGACATCTAAACTATTGTGAAATAGTGAAGATTCCAAAATTCCAATCATTTTGTTCTGTACACCGAAGAACAAAACCGCGAAGACTGACAATTCAATTGATCGGAAAAGACCAAACTACGAAAATATTAACTATTTCTTCGGGACTATCAAAATGAAAATAGTTCTTTTTTTACAGACAGATTTGTACTAATATTTTGATACCCCCAAAAATTCATGAAGCCATTAATTTTTCACAATTGAAACAAAATGTACAACCTAACCTTATTTTGTCTTAAAATATTTTTCTTGGTTTTTACTATTTTGAAAGGAACAAGATCAAAGTTCAATTTGAATACCAAAGGAATTCCCCCTTCACCTTTATTTTAATCTCAAACTAACCCGCATTCATGCTTCCAGTAAACTTAATTTACTCTCTAGGATTCAGGTCAAACCAATCCACCAGCCGTTGAAAATAAAATAAGTCACTTACAATCCGCTGGTTTACTTTCAAAACTGAAAACAACATTTGGCTTAATTTTACTAAAACAACATTTGGAGAGCACATGGTTGAACATTTTTTCAGAAGACTTATATAACTAAAAAGGTATGTATGAAGTTGTGTAAAAAACCAATTAGTTTTTAAATAATATATTTGTAATTTAGTGAAAGTAATTTTGACAAATAATGATAATAATTGAATAAGTCGATGAGTCAATTTTTCGTTAAAACTTTATGTTTACATTTATATTTTATTGTAACAGAATTAATATAAATTATTATTAGCACTCCAATCGTGGAGAAATTATCAAATAAATAATCAATCATAATTTACTATTTTTTAACTGTTTATAAATATAAAAATTGATTTTTGACTAGCCTGTTAGAACGTGAAGGAAAAGTTTCCTTGACGAATGGTGACTAAATAATTATACTTCTTGAAATTATAGTTGTAAACATGTTATTTTTATTGCTTGTTTAACTCCTGAGCAGTGTAAAACAAGAATAATGAGAATTCACCTTCTAACGATATTTTTTCCGTTTAACTAACAGATAATAAATTCAAAAACTTAGGTACTAAAAATTAATAAAACGAAAGAAATAAATTATAATTTTTAACAGTAGTGCGTATAAAAATCAGTGAAATAACCTCCAACAGAAATTCTTTATTTAATAAGTGCAATGATTTATAATCTAACGACCCATAATTAAAGCTCGTAGTATATGAACTGAATTGTTGCAATAGATTAGATCCTACCTTTTGGTAATATTTGTTTTATCTTTAATCTTTCCATTTAGTTTTCACTACTCCAAAACAGCCTTTTAATTGCATAGAAAATGTTTAACTCATCTATTTAATTTAACTTATAAAACAAAATATTAATGATTGAGAATGACGAGAAAAAACAGCGAGATTCTAATCTTCAAGAGGGTTTACATTATTGTTTAGTCAAGCCTAGATTTTCTAGCTGAGAATTATCATTAATAAATTCATTTATTGGAAAAAAGGAAATAAGTTGGAAATGAACCTACGTACAGTATTTCCAATGCATCATTCAGATCTGTTACTACCAGAGTTTATAGACGCAACAATCCACTACAAATACCCTTTCATCATTCAACATTACGTTCTTCCCATCAATAACTGACATCCACCCACTCCAAATCAATGATACTATCTATGAATACGCAAATGCGGACATAGTTGAAGTTTAATTATAAACATTAACAAATATAAGAAAATCTCAAAACCTGGTGTTGTAATGTATATTTATTTCATCCTTTTAATATTGATCATATGATTTATTGCATCACACTCATTCAACATACACAACACACAAAATTCATATAAACAAATTTTTAAATATACTTTTTTTATGGCGTGTTTTGCTTGTTTCATAATATTCATTTTGACAATAATAGCCTCGACGATTTTAATGGCCCTGCCTATTTTATCCATTCAGGCAATACAGAGGAAAAGAACAGCGCGGGTAAGTTCGAATGGTCAGTCCAAAGGTTACAAAAATTGATTAATTTACTCTGACGTTTGCAGATTGTGGGAAATTCGCAAGAAGAAACAAGACGAGAGCCTACATCAAACTGTCTTCCTGAAATGAACACACAATAAACAATGCACTAAAGAAAGTTATATTTATTTAGTTGTATTTATTTCACATGACAATACAACGTCCAAGTTTTTAATCTAAAACAAAACTTACAGTAGTAGTCAGATGTTTCCAGGATTTAAACAAAAACTGTCGTATTTATTGACAGAACTTAAATTACTTATAGGAAGAACTGTCAGTGTTGTGCGAACTGATGGTCAAAGGAAAAAATTTTATACGCGCAAAAATTATGCGCCAATACTCCTACGATATTTTCAATATTAAATCTGATTATTTGGCTATCCCAATTTTTTCATATTTCGAACGCAACATATGACAAATATCATGTGTTAAGGATATTCGAAGGAAAATCAAAGTAAATACAAGAACACCAAAAATATTACACAGTTAATGGAATAAATCTAATTGAAAAGAAGATGGAATCCGCGAAGAGGCATACGTTGGAGAAGATCGTGCTTCCGTTTTGGCAAATCGTATGTAGCGTCATGTCACTCGCCCTGGCGACATTCACAGCCGTCTGCCTAGCATTCATCGCTTTAGCTTTAGACAAGTCCCGACCTGGAGCAGCGCTGACTGAAGAGGACCTGTACCCGTTAGGTCCGATGAACCATCATCAGTCAGGCAAAGAAACAGGATTCGCAGCTTTAATGACGACTCCTCAGAAAGCCAACGGCGACTGTACTCTGTCAGATACTGAACTTGCGGCCGAATCAGAAATGGAAAATATGAATGTAAATAAAATATATACGTAAGAAAATACTTCGCCACGCATGCCTTTTACGATTATGAACATTTCAAACGTATCAAAAAAACAAAAACATGTGATGTTTATTTTTCAGGAAAACATACTCGCAACATAAGTACAACTCTAAAGAAGAATCCGTCGTTACATCATAATAAAACAATAAAACACATTTAATTATATGTTTCATTATAAAAGTTAAACAAGATTGGAAAATAGTTTTAATAAAATTAAAAGTTGATAAAATGTTGTCTAGCTGGGCCAAGTTAATTAATTTTGTTTTAATATTATTACACACCGCTAACAAAATTATACTCACTCCCATTTTATATTAAAATCGTATATTTTCATGAATAAAACTTACGAAACCAACCTTTCTACTAATATAAATTCTTAGTTAGAATATGAAAAAGCAATGAAAATCTAACGAGACAAGTAGTTCTTTTAAAAAAAACACTATATTGGAAGAGATTAAAAGAAGATATTTAAAAATCTATTTTATCGAATATTACCCCACTTTTCTATTCCCTCCTCTACGACGTTAAACGCCCCCCTTGTGCATAAGCAGCTCGAGAAAGCTTTCTCACAAAGTTCTCGATAATGCTGAGATCTGGTTATAAGGCGGCCAGGGTGAAAAACGAAAAATATTGAGCGAATTTTCCTCTATCACGATTCGTTCCTGAATAATTTCTGTATTTTTCCGCCCATTTTTGCTGAACAAAATATTAATGATTTTTATCCATAGAGAACAAAATTATCACACCATACATTAATTATCATTTGCTTAAAAAATTTCTTCTGCATACGTCATTAAAGTTGACATGAAATCGATCAGAATCGTCCAAATTAAAGCGCTTTTCTCTACGAAATTCTTGACCGTATGTTTGTCCATGATACATGTAAACTGTTCATCCCATTCTTGGAGGTGATGCAATACAAAAACAACGTACACTTTAAATGTACGTCTTTGCAAAATACATAGAATCTTGCGGATTTATATTTATTTTGGACCTCGGATTGTCAAAAATGTATCTTGCAGGGGCTGATGACCACCCTAACAAAATCATTATTATGTGTCTACTTTTATTTAAAGGTCAAACAATTTTTGAAACGCTCGAAACCTTTTTCAAATAATGTTTTAAATACAGTCTTTTCACTCTACGATAACTCTGCCTCTTGGCATTATTTAACTTACAAAAAAATGATCAATAATAAAAATTCAATTTTTATGATATGAATTAAATACACCAACATTGATTTTGTGAAAGGTTTTTTACAGATTTGTTTTGTGCTGGATAGCAGATGTTAAAGTGGCCTAATTCAGTAAGACCAAGGGAAGTTGTATATTAAATTAATCTTCAAAAAAAACCCAAATTTGTTAACGTATGTGACATAAATGTAATCGATATTAAAGATGTGGGTAAAATAGTAGTACGTAGTAGAAAGTCAACGTATATTTTATTTCCCTCTGGCAAGACATGTAAATTTTTGTTTTATATGCTTAAGTGTTAACAATTGTGTTATTAATCAGTAACTAATAACTAATAATAGTAACTATTCATTATTATGTATCTATCACTGCAGTATTTTTTATTTTATTTGTGTTTTGTAATTTTTATTATTATTCTTTGTTAACTCACGACAGACAGATTATTAACAATATTATAGTACTGCATTTTTGTAATATGTAGCTGTATTAAAAGTATTAAAAAAATGCACTGCGAAAAAAAGATAGCGGTTTGGACGAGGTTAAACTTGGATTGACAATGTGGGGTGAAAAATACCCCCACGACATCCTTTATGGCGGTTTTTTAATTTCTATGAATCAAAGTGCCTCCCGCCCTTTTCCTAAATACTCCCAAGGGATCTATCTACTATCAAAGATGATAATGAAAGCTAGACGTGTTCTAATCGATGCGGAAAAAGGTCACGAATTGTGACTGGGGTTATTTTAACGCCACGGTGTCGTTCACAGCTAACTTTTTCACTGTTCTGTTTGATCTCTGGTCGTCTGTGCTCTTTTTTACGGTTTTTCGAGTGGAAAAATGGGGAATCCTTAAAAATACTCTGATCCTGAAGACATTAGGTACATCTTAGAAGAGCTGTAGAATGAAAAGGAAGAAAATTTTGATGGAGATGGCAGCTGTTCGGAAGATGAAGAGGAAGAAAGAGAAGTTTCAGATTCTTAATGTTTTGTCTTACACAGATGGTGCACTGGCCATGAATGTCCCCGGAAAAGCCTTTTTCTTTAATTTGGGCTATCAACTGGTGAAACGTTATATGGAAGTTAGTGCCCAACTGCGGAACAAACCAAAACCAATGAAGACACTGAGTCTTGTTGTTTTAGGGGTCGATTCGACAGTCTGATGGACCTTCAGCATCCTTCATTACTCTGGACGACCCCGTGAGATGTTCATTTTGTGACAACGGATGACAGAAGGCGAAAATATGCTCGGTACACGTAAAAGAGCGATGTGCCGCGATCACCACGCGCCAAAATGTGTAGAATGCTGATGAGTCTCAATAGGACCGAGCATGAGCATTTCCTAAAGTCCCTTTTTTCCATGGCTGTTTGATAATTCTTGCATGCTGTTCTTTAAAAAAATCTTTTTTTTTTAGTTTCGGGTTTCCTAGACAGTTTGTTAGTTTTAAACAATATTTTGCTCATTGATTTTGTTTGAGTTTGTTTTCAAGATATTCCTATTCTAAGATGTGTTGCAAAGATTAAGCAGTAGAGAAAATTGAATTTCAGGCAGTATCAATCTAAGATAAAGACTCCAAGATAAAAATTAACAATAAGAGCTAACTCACATACCTTATGATTGAAGGAATATATGAACAATAGAAAATTTTCCGGTTTGATTTGGATGTGAATTTAAATCCGGGTTCTGTGAAATGATCCGATTTCCCGGAAAACATCCGCGACCTGGCGAATTTGAATAATTCGCACTGGAGGGGTCAGATTTGCCGTGAAATCCGTAGCACCGATCGTGGGATGAACGAGGGCAAAGCTAGAGCTCGAGAGCCGGTAGAAATCCCGACAGTGACAATGCTGCAGTAACTTTTTCGATATTAAACCTGTCAAACGAAAACGTATATGGTACCGGGGAAAATCCTTTTGGAAGAATTCCAAACTTTTCTGTAATTATAACGCTAACAGCTATGTGCATGCCAATGAAAAAGTTTATTTCGAAGGGTGACGTGGAAAAAGAATAAAACTAAATTGTCCCGACCTAACTATTTTGACCAAAGCTAAATTTGTATTTATCGACAAAAATCGCTCTTGCAATTTAATTATCTCTTTTCATAAAAAAAAACTAGTTAGAGTTAAAAATCAGTGGGGCAATAAACCAATTATCTTGACACATAATTAAAAAAATCTAAAGAGTACCACAACTATATAAACATACATATACATAAAAAAACTCAAATGTTGTATGTATTTCAAGAACGAACATTTTCTTACAATTCAAAATTAATTATTATATTTCTAATTTCGTCCAGTTCTGGGTGGTAAATATTTCTTAAATTTTTGATTACGAGTGATTGTTAAGCCAGAATTAGTTATTGAGCTTGGGAACTTAAACGTCTCTTTGCTTTAAGGCGGCAAGTCCTTCAGACAATAACAAAACTGTTTGAAAAGGTAAGCCTTTTCTACAAATAAAAATCTTTTTCCATGAACATTCTTATTGAAAAGAAAATTGATGAATTTCAGTATAGTCGTGCTTATAGTTATTTCGTATGTACAAAACTATCTTTTGGCAACTATTCCAAGTTAAAGAAGTATAAGGATGGACATAAAAGACGTTCCACGCAGTTAAAGAGATCAACAGGTTCAACTGACAAATCCCCAAAGATAACTAAATGACACAAAACGACAGGAATTTTATAAGAGAAAAAATTATACAGCTAGATTGAATAAATATATACACAAGAATATACAATGTTTTAAAGCCTTGCTTAAAAAATTAACTTTTAACAAATAAAATAAATTAATCCTTGTTTTTTAATTCATCACGAAAATACAATCGGGATTTACCACATACCTGACAAACGTTTAGGCTCGTATTCGTTCAAACTTCACCCTTTACAAACTTTCATATTTATTTAATAAACGGATCCAGCCTTTCTACGGGTTTGTTTATTCGATTTCCCATCAATCGGGGAAAAGCATTATGAGTATTTCAATCTAATGCAAGTTGCACCACAGATTATTTTACCAGTTTAATAGATTATTTTAAGCTTTTATGATACCGCTATTTTCTTAATTTTATTTTGTAAAGTACCAGAAGTAAACGAACTCGTTTTATAGAGTAATTATTATGGCAAAATTTTACGTATTCAAACAAAATGTAAATCTTGTTTACGAATAAAAATATTCGTATTCATATTCAAACAACCTGAATTTATAATCTACAAATTTACCAAAACATTTCGTTAGTTATCGCGCTAAAAGAATAACTGTAGCGTATTTTTGGAAACTTGAACATGAATATGTTAATGATTCTACTATATCCTAATTTATTTTTATAAATGTTAATTGTTAATTATACAAAAAATTCTTTAGTTTTTAATGGAGGGGAAACCTGTCAATCGAAGTGCACATTCAGTACCGAGATATGAACGATCTATGTAAAGCATATTTGTTACTTGTAAAAAAGCTCAACAATAAATATGATAAATGGTGGGGTGACTTGTTGTTCAATCTTTTTAAAAAGAAGTTCCTACTCACAGTAAGTTGTCACTTCCTAGTCAAGTAGTTAGTAACTTACTATGAGTAGGAACTATCTTTTCAATAAAAAAGGCAACAATTCGTTAATGTTTATAATGTGTAATTGCCGTTCTAACAAATATAACGAACGTTTCTGATTACTGACGAAAACCTCATGAGAAAGTGTAACAGGTTATGTTACGAATTGATTGAAAAATAAGGCTTCTGCTGCTCATTGCGTTTATTATTGGCATACTTCCAAGCCCTCCAGTACTGCTGTGACACCACAGCTTAAAGCTGGGGTCCGCCCTTTGCCGCCTTTATATAGTCACTTAACGGATTACGAAACACGTTGGCAAGAATGCTCCCACAACTTGTTACTAACACTATAAATATTTTATATTTCATACCATTGCTAATAGTTATTTAAGTCAATAGGTGAAGAAAGTTGAGCCGTAAATTCACT